AATTTTTTAAAGCGCATCTTTGCATCCTCATTTCATCCTAGGCATTTTTAGGCCTAGTTTAAGGCATCTTAATGAGGATATAGATGTAGAACCACACGAGTCAAGATAGGGATTAGTTATTATCTTTCCCAACTGTGTAGCTTAGTGTGTGTTCAATCTGTAAACTGTGTAGGGTTGGCGACTAGGGACGCGCTCTAGCCTAACTGTAGCCTAGAACTCTGTGTGTAACAACTGTATAAAAGATATGTTCAAAAATGATTATCTCTGAACAATTGAACTGTACTGTATCTGAATCGATACTGTAATAGAATGATGTATGTCCTCTATTCTGAACTGTATTGTGGCATCCTTAGCAACTACTGTTATGACTGTTACTGTACAAAAGTCTCTGTCGGTTCCTTGTTAGAACCACTAACTGTTTACTTGATTGATGGCCATCATTGACTGTTCGGTCTTTCTAGACCTACTGTTCACTGTACTGTTATGCTAATAGATGTACACATATGACTGTACTGACTGAACGACTAAAATACTGATTTAATGAACTGTTTTCATTACTGTAAGGACATTCATTCTAAAAACTCTTTACGCATTATGTTATCACTGGCTTTAGCTCATCTGCTCATATATATATGTAGGTGTACAGGCACCAGACGCGGCTGAGTAGCTTTCGGGTCGTCGGGGTAAGCTCCAGTTTTGTCAAGCCAACCACTGTGCCTCACTGCGAGGTTCCGAGCCTGTCAAGCTATGGCTTAGGGGTGTTTTAATTTTCCCCGTCTATCTTTGTAACTGTTTTGTAGACTGTATAAACTATTACTGTACTGTTTAATAAGGATTAGGTCCCTGGTCTGGATGATTATAAATGTTGTACCTACTGTTCTGCACTGTGTATATATATATATGAAAAGTCTTTTTGGCATACAGACTGTCACAGCTCATTGGACATTGTTTATTTACTGTATTGGCTTCCGCCAGGCCCCTGTACTCTATTTTACTGTCTTACTGTTAAGCAGGCCTTCGGTAATCTCGGATTACTGGCCGGATACGGTGCTAAACCCATAGGGACGGGTTTGGGTCGTGACAACTGGGTTGCTGACTTGCTAAGCTGGACTGCTGGACAGAGCTTGGAACAACAGAACTGGGTGGTGGCTGAGCTGTTAAACTAGACTGCTGAACAGAAGGAGGAACGGTAGAATTGGGTTGCACAGGTGCAGGACTTGACTGTGTAGAAACAGCATGCTGCAGAGAGGTAAGAGCAGATGGTCTAGACAATAAAGTAGGAGAAGACCAGAAAAAATGATGTAAAAAAAAGAGAGTAGTAGAAAAAGGGACAGCTGGAGCTGGAGAAAGAGTGTGAAATGGAAAACAAGTTTCATTGAAATGAACATGCCTAGATAGATATACCCACTTGCTAGAGGATCTAAACACCTATACCCTGGCAAATGGATGTAGCCTAAAAACACACAAGAGAGAGATCTTGGTTGAAGTTTATTGAGTAACATAAGGCTTAGCCAAGGAAAACACTGACAACCAAAACTCTTAGCTAAGAGTAAAGGGAACAGATTTGAACAGTAATTCATGTGGAGACTTATTAGCAATTGAGAAGAAGGCAGGTCTATGATCAAAAAGTAGCCACAAGCAACAGCATCGAACCAATACTTGATAGGAACAGAAGCATGATGCAATAAAGCAATAGTTGTTTCGACTATGTGCCTGTGCTTCCTTTCTGTAACACCATTTTGAGAGGGTGTGTAAGGATAAGAATGCTGATGAACAATGCCTTCAGAAGCAAGAAAATGAGTTATTTTATTATTAAAAAACTCAGTACCACCATCTGTTCTGAGGACTTTTAAAGAAGTTTGAAGCTGTTTTTCCACATAAGCTTTAAACTTAATGAATTTGGTGCAAACTTCACTTTTATATGACAAAGGATAAAGCCAAGTGAATTTAGTAAAATCATCCACAAACAAAACATAATACTTGTAAGGAGACGTAGACTGAAAAGGACCCTATACATCATTATGAATTAAAGAAAGTGGTTGATTGCTAGTAGAGTTAGACAAGTGAAAAAAAAGCCGGTGGCTTCTAGCAACACAACAATCAATACAAGTTTGAGATGGGGATTTATTAGAAACAAAAGACAAATGTTTCTTAAGATGAGAAAACTTTAAGAGACTTGGATGACCAAGCCTACTATGCCAGATGTCTGCAGAAACAGATGCTGAAGAAGCATCAATCTTAGCACTAAGATGTACTTGTGATAGTGGAGAAACTTTAGCAGATGAAGATGGAAGAAAGTGGTAAAGTCCATGGACATTAGTTCCTTTGTGAAGCACTCTCTTCGAATGCTTGTCATGGATAACAAAATTAGCATCATCAAATGTTATGAAACAATTGTTATCTCTTGCTAACTTGTGAACAGAGAGTAGATTGGAAAAAATGAATGGAGTATGAAGAAGATTTTGTAATTTGAAAGAATGATAAGGAGTAGGTAATATGCCCGTACCAGTGTGTTGAATTGGTATAGAATTACCATTGCCAATAGTGATTTGATCAGTTCCTTGATATGGTTGATAGCAACTCAAATTACCTATGTCATTGGTGATATGATCTGTAGCTGCAGAGTCAAGATACCAGGGCACTGTTGATGAAGATGAACCAGAGGCAGAAGATGCCACAAATGCTTTGGAGTGTTGAGGAGACTGAGAGAAAGCACCAGATGAAGATTGAAACTGAGAGTCCATGTGATACCAACAGTCAAGAGCTAGGTGACCAAAACCACCACAGATCTGACATTGAAGGGAGGAAGAAGATCGGCCTCTACCTCTAAAAGCACCTCGATTAGTATTATTATAATGGCCTCTGAACTGAAATCTACCTCCTCTATTACCTCGATAGGAATTTCTTCCTCTGAAATGACCAGAATTAGATCCTCGAGACTGAGAATTTCTTTTAAAAGAAGCAAATTCAACTGTAGGATCAGTGGAGGACTTCTTGAGTTTTGCCTCCATATGAATTTCTTCGGAGAGGAGAAGAGAATAAACTTCTTCCTGAGTAACAAAACCTAATCGAGCTCGAATAGAAGTAGCAAATGCATCATATTCTGCTGGTAATCCATTGAGAGTAATTAACACTAGATCCTCATCTTCAATCAACACTGGAACAAGTGCTAATTGATCAACAATTTCTCTGATCTTAGTAAGATATTCAGTCATTGAATCAGTTTTCTTCGACACATTATTCAATTGATTCTTCAATTTATGGACATGAGATCGAGAGAAGGAAGTGTACTGCTTATGTAAAGCAGACCACACTTCAGAGCAATGAAGACAATGTAAAATAGTAGAGTAGATAGATGAATAAAGAGTTGCAGTCATACAACTCAGCAGATGTGCATCCACAAGATTCCATTGTAGTCGTTCAAGATTAGGAACAACCTTTCTTGAATCATCACTGACTGTTAATGGAGGACAAGAGACTGTATCTTCAACATATTCAAGAAGATTTGTTGCTCTTAGAATGTTCTGCCATTGATTCCTCCAAATGACAAAATTGGATGCATCAAGTTTAACTGTAACAAAACAAGATGGATTGGAGATAAGCAGAGAAAGGTTTGAAGGAATAGAAGATGTAACAATGGTGGAAGGGGAAGCCATGGATCTCTGTGCTCGTAAGAGCTCAATGCTCTGATATAATGATGAAATATTCAATTCATTATTCAATCTCAATCTTGATAAGTACATGATGGTTATATACATATCAGATGATTACAACTAATCCATAACTAATCTAATCTGTTACACGTACATATTAAAAAACACTCTTAACAGATTCCTAACTAACTAGCTGGAGCTGATTCGGTGACTGCACCTGCATGGATGAGGATCTACACCTGATGTTAGAGCTGCTGCTATGTATCTTATCAAAGATTACAACTAGGACTCGGAATATATTAAGTGCTCAATACTGTTTCTCTCTTTTCTTTTTCATGTTACCAAGTGCAAGTAAAGCATGGGACTGATATATTTCACATATTTGAGAACTGATTTGAAACTTGCTTTGGTGAAACTTGGTAATTCTAGTTTATGAATATGGCACAATGTCAGTAAAATCTTGAAAATCTACAAAAATGATGGAAAATAAATAATAGGACTATAGGAGAATGGAATGGCTAAAAACGAAGCAGCACAATCACTTCTAGAAGGGAGCTTTTTTTCATTTAGAAAACAATAGAGACATGACATTCCTTTGACACATCCAGACAGTTTTTATGCATAGCTTGAACATTAAGATTATAACGTACTCGGTCATTTACATGGAATGGAATTATCAATAGTGAGAATGGAGTCTACAAAGAAAGCCACCATTGTTGCAACCCCCACCTTCCAAATGTTTTTCAAGAAAAAGACCTACATGCTGCTCATTTGCTAATAAAGTGAAAAGATTTAAATGAGAATCTTCCACCATTAGCTTTCCACAACCTATATCTCTACCCTACAAAGAACACAAAAATGCATCCACAGCATCTAGCTCCCAATACTGCACAACGTGAATGAAAAACGAAAAACGGCTCCATGCTATCCTTGATTCCATGATCTTGACATAGATAACATACATTTGTATAAGATATATATTAATGTCCTTTTCTCCTTTTCTAAAACAAAATCCTCATTCTACTCAAAGCCAATTGGAGTAGGCCAGCGATGTTTGAGTTTTGAGGATGGCTTTGCTCACATGTGGTATAAGTAAGTATTCATAATCATGGGCATTATTGCCTAAACATGGCTAATAAAATTATACACATATTGCACAAGCACGTTAGGCTTTTGTGGTAGAATTCACTACTTGTCACCATTTTTTGATTTTCTTTAGTAGCATTTTGATTAGTTGTTGTGTAGGTGCAATTCTGAACAAGCAATTGTCTCCTACATGTTCATTTGAGAGCATAAAGCAGACAGTGGAATTGACCTCCATCCCACAAATCTCATGGAGCAAGATGTCTAGAAGCAAGCTCTTAAGAAGTTTGGAAAATGACTTAGAATTAGTTTATGTGGCTCACTCATGCTTGTCCTGGGAAGCACTCCATTACCAATACCAAAAGGTTAGGGCTGTAATTGCATGCTCTGCTTCTCAAAATGCTGCCTTTTGCGATAACGTTGCAGCGAGATTCCAGAAGTTTCACTCATGAAATCTTTGACAGGATGAAACCATAACCATGTTTTGTTCATTATGTCTTTCTTTCTCTATTTGTCTTTCTTCTTCTCCTTTTATTTTGTTTTGAAAAATGGGGAATGAAGAACCATGATAGCTCGAGTATTCTTCTGTTATGATGAATGAATAACCATTTTTTATAAAAGGAACCTTTATATATGTAACTCACATTTAAGCCAAGGTCCTAGATTTGACTCTTACCCAGGACATCTATATATTGTACTTTGCCTTATCCATGTTATGAAACTGTTGTTATTATTGTGCTATAGTATTCACCTTTAAATGGATACCTTTCTGTCTTAGTGTAATGGAAAAGGGATCTCCATTGACATCTTCTCTCTCTGTTGTAGGTTAGGGTGTTATGCGAGAAGGCTAAGGGGATTCTAATGGAAGAAAGCAATGTGACCATCTTTTGTCTTGACTCTTCCCGATAGGAATGAACAAACTTGTCCAATAT